TCAGAAAGCACCTGTAGAGACGTTTGATCATGCACAAAGTTTATGTGGAGCAGAAGCGGTCGGGCCGCGGCAGGTTAAATGTTCCTAGCCTACATGAAGTGAAACTGTTTAATTGTAACATTAATATGTTACTGGACACACTGGTCTGGTTGGTTAGACCAGTGTTTGAAGTGGAACACACACACAAACACACACACACACACACACACACACACAAACGCACCAATTAAAATAATGCTGATAGCGTGGACTAGAAGACAGGTGATGGTTTACGTATTTAAATGATGATCAGGCTGCTGTAAAATGTAATCTCCATCCACATCCAGACAGAATTATCCTCTCTATTCTTTCTCTATTTGCTCTGCTCTTGTCTGGGCTGACGTAGCTGATGGTGCGGTACCCTTATGAACGGTGAGAGGTACATATAAGAAGTGCAGGTAGAGTTAGAAAAATCTGCAGGGCCACAAACACATTAGGGAAGATGGACTGTAGACCATTTTTTAGCCCGTAAATGATCATGGTTCTATTTATATTACATTATTCATGTGGACTCTGCTGGTATTATTTAGAGCTGAGAGGCACAGAGCTCTGATTGTTGACACGCTCCAGACACATGCGTCCTGAGAACGGCCACAGTAACATTCTCAAAGTGTCGCCATCCCAAAAACAAATTTAACACGTGATCGTTTATGTCAGCTCATATCCTTTTATATTTTCTGTCTTTTATTTGTGCCTGATGTGTTTTACTGCTGCGGAGCGGCGCATAACCTGTTTCGTCCTCCGGTGACTTCACCTCACCGGTGCAGCCGGCGCGCACTTCACTATTTTTGCAGTCGGTAGATCTTTTTTAACTGCAGTTCAAAGGTAACTCATAAGGTGAATGTATATGAAGCCATGTAGCCATTTTTCTTCAGGACTGAGAGGAGATGCAGGAAGATAATAAACAGGCAGGACAGAAAAATAGTCACATAAAAACAAGTTAGTTTTTGTACCTGCTGGTTGCAACAAACAGACACCATTGAAGGTAATCAGAAGTGAGGAACAGAAAATTAAATGATTCTTTCAATGTTTGGATCAGCAGGAACTCTGAGAGGCTGCAGGTGCATCAGTGAGTTTGCGGCCGCTGCGCATGGGGAGGGGGGAGAGGGCTGAAGCAGGATTAGTAAAGATGCAAAAACTACCGTTGTTAAAAGAAATGTGTGTTAACTTAGAAAATGTGGAATTTTAATTACTTCTCAACATTTTTCTCCAAGGTTAAGACTGCTGCACAAAAAAAAGACTGCTGCTTGCGTGAGCCCCCTTGGTGGCAGTGGGACCCTGGGCCTGTGCCCAGTTTGCCCATATTAGAATCCGGACTTGTTAGAGATACTTTCTTTTTTAAATGTTTCCTCAAAAGTGCTGTCCGCTTGTCAAAAATGAACAATATTAAATTCACTATTTGGCCATTCAACCATAAATCCTGTTTACAATTGTGTAATAAAAAATATAAGAATTCCAAAATGTGCTGTATTGGTGTAATAATGTCACCTGATAATGTTCCGGTATCTGTGACGGGTATCTCGCCTCTCAACTGATCATCAGAGGAACTTGAGAACTGGGTTGTTAACTGTTTTTTGGTACAAGACTAGAATGCCCACCAAAAACCACCGCACAGCAGCAAATGATCTGTCACCTTTGGTCTTCAGCCTGGTGAAGCCCCAGACTTAACCAGTAGGCTTTGGTCACTGGACCTCAGGGACCTGCTGGGTATATAAGGACTGAGAAGAACACCAATTTAAGATAGTGCTTAATCATATAAGGTCCTAAAGACCAGAACCAGGATCTTGAAATGGACCCTGAAGTTAACTGACAACCAGTGAAGCTGATGATCAAGAAGTTCTCACTTTATGACAATAACTAGATACAACTCTAGGTACCCCTCTGTTAAAGAAACACATCTCCACAAACATCACTCTAATAACTTGAAACTACTGGTTTTCATACTTTAAACTAATTTTTAAAACTTATTACTATTACTGTTTTTATCCAGTCCGTTAATGAACCAAGAGGTAGGCCTTATGTTAAATATTTGTTTACTAGAACCCAGGCACAGAAGTGAGATATGAGAAATCTAAACAAACCGTTGCAGTAACAAAAAAAATTGGCTCTGGTTTTGTTAGGAACATGACCAGACTTTACTCTAAGTTCAATAATCATTGACCAGTAGGTGTCAGAAACTGGTCGTCCTTGAGGGCCACAGTACATCATAAACGTGTTGAAAAGTTTGGTTCATGATGGAGAGATGCGCTAAACTTTTTAGTTTCATTACAATATTGCATCATATTTCTGGAATATGAAGCTGACACGATCAGTTTATTCTGACACGATAAACATCACATCATTATTGTTATAAATGAATAATAAAACCTGGGTGAACTGCTGTAGTTTTATTATTTTAAACGTGCCACAAACAAAAACGAGTTATGAACTCAAGAATTTCTAAATGAATGGTTTAAAAATATTTTACATATTAATCTTGTCCTTTGTAAATAGTTCATTATGCCACAACAGAATTTAATCAACCGGGTCTTTATTTTGAAAACCACGGTGGACACCGGAAGTGTCATGTGACCCACCGACCACATTTAGGAAACAGCTATTTTTTCACCGTTGTCCTTCCTTCGATGTCTCATCAAGTAAAGTGTGTTGCTGACAATATAACACATCGACTGATTTTTAACTGTTTGAATGAGATTCTGATTCCGTAATTTGCCGCTAACGGGTCCCGGCTGGTGCTGCTGGAGTCACGTTCCGTGTGGAAACAGGCGTGCGACCACAGGCATTTCCCCCTGTCTTTGCTTGCGACTACCTCTGCTGAAAAATGGATTCAACGTTAAACCACCAGAGGTGTAAAAACAGCTCATTTGAAATGTCTTACTAGAAAGGTCACCTACTGAAACAAACTATATAGAGTAATCAGACTAGTTGTGTTGGGTTTTACCATACAGTACCATTTATTTATAAAGCACATTTCAAAATGTCATACCAGCTGACTAAAGCGCTGTACGAGCACCAGGATACATGGTTGGTTATGCAGTTGTCTTTTTTTTTTTAATTTACGTGAAAACAAATTGTACCAGCCGTTTTAAGTACTTATTGCTTTTTTCGTTCTTTTTTTCAGGAGGGAAGGTTGGGTGTCGTGGGTCCATATCGTCTACTTGGATTTTTAATCCGAATTCTTCCCAGTTTTCGACAGAAGCGTTTGCGGTTTGGTATTTTATTTTGAAGGGCATTGTCGGCGGAAGGGCGGATGTGCTAGCTGTTTGTAGCTCGACAGAGGCGGAGGGCAGCGGATTCCGTTGGGAAGCTGTAGATCACCGTCCGTCAGCCTGTTCTTCATGGCTCTCTCGCTGCTGTCTCCATAGGTTAACGGTGTCACCTCCGAGTTACATCCGCCCGGGTAAGTAGGTTGGTGGTTAGGTTATGTCTGGTGATGTCGTGCTGTTTAAATATCAAAAAGGCTCGGGAACTTGTCCCCTTCCTGTCTCTGGTCCTTCTCAGTTTGCATGGCAAATTAGCTGGCTAGCCGTTTTTCTCGTCTTTGCTTTGCAAATAGCAGATATCGTTTGCCATGTAGAAACATGCTTGACGTACTTCTTCGATTTCTCTTTCAGCTTTTGCGCCAGTGTGGATTTAATGTGGCCTGAAATATGAACAGAAAAGGAAAATAAGCAGTGGCGACTGGCTTCCTGCGGAATTCTTCCCAGGCTTTTCGTTTCTTCCCCCCCGTGGACATGTCTGACTTGTGGAGGATAGCTGTGAGAGACTAGCCGGCGGACAGCTCGGCTAGCGCATCATTTCCAGGCTTTAGATGACCGCTCGACTGCGGAGCTGATATATTTTGGACCAGCGCTGCTTCCCTCCCAGGAGGAAGGAGTCAGCATGGGGGAGCCCAGCCTGGACGACTCCAATGTCAAGGTGGCTGTGCGTGTACGGCCCATGAACCGGAGAGGTGAGGAGGGTCCACTCTGCCCGGATTTGTGTTAATAAGAAAAAAAATCTAAAAATGAATACAGACATGCACAGAGAGTTTGTTTAATAAGGCATGTGGGTGGCACATGAATGGTTTCAGTTCAAACAACATCTCACTGAGACGCTGTCCATGTGAAACGGCCTGTCTCTCCTGGTCAGTTTATCCTAAGAATGTGATGGCAGTCAGAAATCACTACCCATTAGCGAAATGAGCTGCTGCACTACATAAAAAAAGCTTTAGCCTGATCCAGTCTGGATGGCATGTGTTTTTACAGCACTGCCATGGGGCTTCCCCTGTCAGTCTGCCATCCAGCAAGATTTAAAGCCAAGCTGCTGTGTGAGATCTGCTGTTGTAAAAGCTGGAGGCTTTTGTCTCTTGCTGGCTAATGGGGATGCCGATAGCTTCTTGATTTCTTTTACCACTCACTGAAAGCTTCGGCTGAGTCAGTATTTCAAAAGGAGTGAGTTTTGTCTTCAACATTCATGTAAGTCAGACATTTCCGCTGCTAATGAAGCAGTATCAGTGTGGATGGTGACATCTTCTGACAGCAGAAGCTTTCTTTAGCTCCTGTTACAAATGTCTAAAGTCACCCTGCTGCCCCTGCATCCACAGAGCTTCATGGAGCTGCTGCACTTTGGTTACATCCTTGTGTCCAATTTCAGCGAAGCATCGAAAACAAAGGAACTGTGTCACACAAGTATTCATTCACGCTCTGCTGCTTCGTGCAATTATTACTGCTGCTTTCCAACATAGCATAGGGTGGCTCAGATGACATTTTCTGGTTGTTTGTGCCGTGAAAGGATGAGGAGGAAAGCTGTAGGCACAGTGGTTGACCGGCAACTGGCAGAATGAATTTCCTATGGGCAGTGCCTTACTAAGAGTTTCTGCAGGTCTTCTATCTGGTTCTCACACAGGGTAGAAGTCTTTCATCATATTTCTAAGACAGAAAAAATGGCCCCTTAGTTGCTGTTTTCAGGTTTACACCAGCTTTTGTATTGCTCTGATTAACCTTCAGCTTTCTTCTGTCTTGTACTGCTGCTCCAAGATACAAATGGTTGTAGTGGAAGAATTACAGGTTTTTTGTTCACATTTTTCCAGAGTGAGGTGATGCAGACCTGCAAATCTGACAAACAGGGAGCTATAACCCAGAGGCCAGTGTCCCAGTGTATACCAGGTTAAGAGGAGAGGTGGCGTTGCTGCCTGGCTGGACAAAGACAGGAAGGGAGTGAGTCAGAATGAGTATTTACTAATGTTGCATAATGCTCCATGTTCCCATGGTGGTGGCCTTCGAAGAACAGAGCAGCCTTGGGCATAGCAACAGCAGCACCAAAGCCAGTGAACTTCCTGGCTGGTTCTGGGGTCGTCGTGCCAAACCTCGCTGTGGTCGGTAGCTCAAGAACGAACCGGAGAAAAGGCCAGTGGAAAGTGGGAGCTGGTTATGGAGCAGCCAGAGGCCCGTAACAATGGCTACATTTATCCTCTGAACCATACTGAATCACACTTTTCCCCCAGGCTGATCAGGAAGTGTGACTGGAGCAGTACAGCAGGGGGCATGTGGGTATTGTAGGCAGAAGTAAAGGTAGAAACAGAAAAAAGTAGATTTTTTTTTAACTTCAGGCTCTCTGTAAACCAACATTATTGTCAGTGTCGTGGTTTCTGTTCGGTGTTGTAGTGACCGATAGCAGCTGAATGGGGAAAATCCAGAATACACCCGAGTTCTCGAGGTTCTAAAGATGTTCCTGGGTCTGGGCGATATGGCCTAAAATCAATATCACGACATTTTGAGGATTTCACCTCGATAACGATAAATGGACGATAACTACAGGTATGCGCAGAAACAAAAGTTGTCCACTAGATGGTGCTGTCATATGTATTATGTTAAATCACAATTTTACTTGACTCAAGGTGGTACAACTTCTTAAAAAGACATGAACGTTGCCAACCTACACACTTCTTTTCATGTTTTAATTTTAAAACGTATTGACATGCCCTGTGATGGACTGGCTCTCTGTCCTGGGTGTACCCCGCCTGATTGCCCATTGACCGCTGGAGATTGGCACCAGCCCCGCAGCCCTACGTGGACAAGCAGGTTCAGAAAATGGATGGATGGATGGATGGATGGATGTATTGACATGGGAATGTTATCTCGATAAAAGTCAGAAATTTCAATAATGATACATTTTCGATTTATCACCCAGCCCTAGATGTTCCTACTAGAAACATTATTATTTGATGCTCTATGCTTAGCAACAGCTATGCTCCATCACCAGTGATGCCAGTAACACATTACTTAATAGCGCATAACTATAAAATGACTACTTTTTCAGTAAGGACTAATCTAACACATTACTATTTCCATATCAGTAATCTAATTAAAGTTGCTTGTCAAACACACTATGCGTTACTGGTTACTATTTTTGCTTAACTGTTTTTATGATTTCCAAAGATGGCAAAACCAGCAGTAGGATTAGCTTGTAACCAACAACAGCATGCATAACAGATTCAGAACTAGCAGCGTACTGAGCTACTTATTGACCGAACAGCACCGCTGTCCCATTCCTTGGAATGGATTCGCTACTCACGGTGGAAAATTAATGCCAACCAAAAATGGCACCACCAGAACACTGAACAAGACTAACAACATCCAACACAACGCTGGCAACAAAACCCCAAATAAACACACCAGAGTAGAACAAACAACTGGAAGCATGGCTACCCACAATGCACCTCGCCCACTGCCTCTCCCATAGTCACTGTTGTCACTAGTGACCCGCATACTGCGGAACAGACAACAGGAGAGGTGCATTGTGGGTAGCTTGTTTTCAGTTGTCTGTCCTATTTTAGTGTGTTTTGTTGGAGTTTTATTGCTAGGCTTGGATTGGCTGCTGTTTGGTGTTCGGTGCTAATTTTCGTTGGTGCTTATTTTGCACCAAGAGTAGCGGTTCCCTTCCGAGGAATGGGACCCCGACGCCGTTCGGCTTTTCAACAATGTGGCTCAGAGTAATCTTGGGTTACAACAAGGTTGTGCATGCTAGCGGATGCTAGCTTTTAGCATACTGTCTGGCCCAAGCATTGCATTGGCATAGCAAAACTGAATGCTGGTTTTATGTTGAGACAATGGGTTTATTTATTGGCAGCTGCTGAGAATAATTACTAACTTCTAATCTAATTTAGTTACTTTAACATAAAGTAATCAGTAAAGCAACTAAGTTACTTTTGGAAGGAGTAATCTTTAGTCAGTAATAAATTTACTATTTCAAGGTAACTGTGGCAACACTGTCCATCACACAGCCTGGGTCATCAAATGGCCAGTGACAGGAAAATTTGAATCTGGCTAGTTTTACTTGCTCATTAGCTTGTCAGCCAAATACTGAATTATCTGTATATGATGAGAAAAGCTCTAATGTCTGATATTTAGGTAAAAATACAGAGACTGCAGTTTATAAGTGTTGCAGTCTGAACCTTTCTTTTGTCAGCAAGAGTACAACAAGCAGTCTTTGGATCAGATCATTGCACCTTGAGCAAAAGTGTTATGTAAAACTACGTGTCCTGGATGCAACTTGTCTGTTCAGATGCTTGTGATGAGCAGCTGTCATCTTCACTGTGTCTCACAAGAACGACCCTGCCCTTTGGTCGTCACATCTACGTCATAAAAGAATCTGCACTCTGTCTGTAACACAGACAAAAATAGTTGTAGTTGAGTAGAAACCACTGATTGCTTCCTGTCCTGACTCGTCTAATCAGGAACAACGCCCTCGCATGCTCTTGTGTACAAACTAGGATTATTATAGGCACCTTTTTGTTTATGTTGGGGAAATTTCATACAGCCTCCAAACACATGGCTAAATGCTGATGAATATGATGATATTCAAATTAGTTGGCAAACAGCACACCTTATGATGCAAATGCAAGCAGGTTGACTTGTGGGAAACATGACTTGCATTTTTAGGAAACGTTTATTAAAAGCCGGTAATAATAGGGGTTCAAGTTGAGCAGGATGGATGATTGCTTACATGAGGGCTCCGCACAAGTTCCTACAGCTGAAGGACAACAGTAAATATCCTTAAGACAAACACTAATTTGCAGCTGAAAGGGGGCAGTTCTCACACTGACCTATTTAACTCAAAACACCAAGAAAAGTAAGCATCACACCTCAGCTGGAGTGGGTCGGTTTTTTGTATGATCTTTGGGGGTAACTGGATGCATCAGTTTAAACCCAAACTACACTAATTTAGTTAAACACATACATGGGACAACTACACTGAAAACAAACAAGTGAGAAGAATTAGGTTTAACAGTCGTTGACAAATGATTCGATTAGTGTGAAGAAGGAAGTTCCAGCAGAAGGGACAGACGAGGAGCTGGGCTGGGCGATATGGCAAAAATAGAATATCACGATTTTTCCAATATTTTATCACGATTTCGATTTTATCACGTAGGGCTGTCGCGGTTGAGGAATTCCCCCTGCGGTGATTCAGGGTGGCTTAATATTGCGGTATGCGATATTATTGCAGCCTTTTTTTTATTGCAGTACTATCTAAACATAATGTTTACACATTTAAAAAGGTTAAAAATTGCCGTGCCTTCTTTTATAACGCTTTACTGAATGCAGATCAAAGGGCAGTAACAACACAGATCGCAGTAACGTTTGTTTGTCCGACAGTTGGAGTCCGACTGAACTTAAAAACAACAAAATTCAGGAGAAGGTTAAACTTTTAAATGCAAATTTGGCTGCAGCATCTAACAAATAAGAAACAAGTCTCCATTTTGTTTAGTTGTTTAAAATCAAGCATAAAAAATTGCATGTACCGGGCGCGCGCGCGCCGGGGGCGGGCGCACTATCATTTCACTTTCACACACGAATGACGGTGATTTATAGCTCGGTCACGTCCTTGTTACATACAAGGAAAACCAGCATGTTAACCATATGCGCTTTGAGAGAGGATCTGAGAGGGGAGGCAACATTTCCAGCAACACTGAAAACCCTCTCGGATGGTGCGTTCGTTGCACTAACGCACACGTACTTGCGTGCGACTCTGGGTAGCAAGCGGAATCTCTCCCGGTTGTTGCTCCACCATGTCAGGGGGGTTTCTTTAGGGTGGATGCATTCCTCCTGCAGGTAGCAAGTGAGCTCCAGCTCGGCTCAAACTCTCTTCGGGACAGTTGCAGAAGCAGTGCTTGTCCGGGACTTCAGCAGGTCTCCGAGCGTTTATTATTATTTTTTTGACGCTGGTGGCAGCGCTGTCTCGGCCAAGGACCCTGGCTGTGCAGCAGCTGACGTACTGAAAACCAAAGTACTCCCAAAGGAGCGAAGTAACGTTTCGTTTTGATACCAGTGCAGCCATCCTTCTCAACATGCATCATTGAGTTGAACCAAGTTCAGTAATCGCGGTGGCCCATGATGCAGCGCGGTGGGCTTCTTCATATTGCAATATTTCATTTTTGCGGTTACCGCGACAGCCCTATTATCACGATTTTTTATCCATGAATAGCATAACTTCAATTGTGTATTAAAGAAGAGAAACATTGAATAAATAAACATTTATTCATATTAGAGATAATCAGCACAGTGCTAACACACTTATATTTTAAACTCACACCAGAGATGATAAAAGCCCTGAGAGAAACAAATACAAAAATCAGTTTTTCTCGTTTTTCAAGTAACTTAACATAAATTAAAATCGTAAACATATTTAAAGTGCAAACATGTCAATTGCAAACGTATTGTGCAAACATTAACTTGTTCAAAATACTATGTAGCTCCCAGTTGCTCACGTAGTGGATAGTTAAGCTCAAATACGGCTCTGATGTGCGGCTGGACCAGAGATCGCTTGTGGTAGCAAAAAACTACGCATTCTGAATATTTTCTGCAACAAGTCTCTAAATAAAGTAAAATTTTCCAGTGCAGAGTTGAGACAACCCATAGAAGCACTGATTTGATCTCATTTCAGAGAAAAATAGAACAGGTTAGATGCACCTAATAAATAAAATTACTAACAAACTCAGAAATCTTTCTTTGCTTCACTGTTCTGGTGCTGAGAATATCACTAATGCGGATCAAAGGAGATACACGGATGAATGCATTCATTCCTTCCCCCCCCCCCCCCCCCCCCCCCCCCCCCCCCCCCCCCCGCCAACACCACCACAGCTGGAAAAATTCCTAGGGGAAACACTGTCTCTCGTTCTGATCTGCCTCGGTCTGCTCTGTTGCCTCCTGCACATGAACCGAGCGCATTGACTGTTAAATAAAAGTTGCGCGACATGATCAAAATGTTGCGCAACACAACAAATTGACAACGAAATGCCTCGCCAACGCACTTCTTCATCGATTTGTTGTTCCAGCCCTATTTGATAACTACTCAAACATCACTAAATTCAGCCAGATTATTCTTGTAATCCCAGACTTCACATCATTTCCAAAACACCTTATTAGACTCTTAATAACATCCAAGGTCATGTTTCATCAGAGTTGGTAATTGTCTCAGTTGATAGTACCTTGAATAATCATTCCCCTTCAGTTATTAGTCGTAGAAATATTGTAGTAAATAGACTATATTTTTGCTTCTGTGTCAAATTATTAAAAGTTTTGGTTCCCTGGCTACCCAAATTACCCATTTACAGAGTCAGCCGGATATTAAAGGTTCAACAATATTAATGATTCATATTTTTATGGAACATTATACTTTGTTGAATACCTTTCATATTTTTTTTGACAATTCATTTGTTGTGACCACTCACAAAACATTACATAACCATGTGACCATTTTGTAGATGAACACACACACTCAAAAAATGTATAAGATCACGTCAACAGAATTTTTGTATAAGAATTTTAATTGAGTGTAGGCCGAACAATCACAGCTCCGGACTACACCATTTGATGATGTGATCTTTGTTTAATTTGTCTTTATGAAGAAAAATGTGCTTCCAGAATTGCTTGTGAAGGCCTGCTGTGATTGGTAACTGAGCATCAGTTTTGTGGTTGTAACACGATGTGTTTTGTGATCTTCAGAAAAGGAGCTGAACACAAAATGTGTTGTGGAAATGGCAAAGAACCAGACAATCCTCCATCCTGCTGGAGGGAACCTTGGAAAAACCGACTCCAGGTAAGTGTGTTGGTCTTATTGCTAAGCAATAACGTTTTTAAAAACGTATGTTTATTAAATACCTACTTACTGCTTATTTTCTGCACTGCACTGGTGTTTCTATATCATCCTAGAAAACACATCTGGATAACCTATTCTTTATGAAATGGTTCATCATCATCATCATGGTGGCTGTAAACAACTCCTAGCCTGTCCTAACAATCAGCCAAACATGCTCCAAAAACTGTGGACGCTAGTTCTTATTCAGTCTTGTTTCACATCGTTGTTGACTCAGATTCTATAGTTTGGCAGACATGGGAACTGATATGTGACAGTCTCTTTCTCTCATGATCCATAGTTAGGCATTAATATGGAACTACAGATGTGGCACCACATGCTTTTACCCTGCAGACACTTTGATGGTAGATGTGTATTTTTTGGTCATGATTCCTGCTCTCTGAGGCCTAGTCCACACGTAGCCGGGTTTTAAAAAAAAAACGAATATCCGCCCCTCCAAAAACTTGCATCCACACCACCTCGTTTAAAAAATATCTCTGTCCACACGTACCCGGATAAATACGTTGTTAAGGACATGCCAGACCTGTAGGCGGCAGTACTTCCCCCGTTCTTAACCTCGTCCTTCGTCTGTGCTCTTCCGCAAGGAGCAGTAATTCCGCTTGCAAAAACAAACAAGCAAAAAGCGCTTGGACAATTGATAAAGTGAGCGCAGCTCTGAGGGCATCCATGCTGTCGGCTAGTGTAAACACAGGTCGCACACATGATGTCAGCATTTTTTTGTCGTGGAAAGTGACGTTGCGGACCTTAAAACTCCGGTTTTGTCCGTCCACACGCAGACACCCAAAACGGAGAAAACGCAGATCTTCACTTTGGCCGGAGTTTTTAAAAAGATCCGTTTTCGTGTGAAAAAACTCTGTTTTCGTGTGGATGACAGGCCAAAACGTAGAAAAATATCTACGTTTTGGCAGATCCCCGGCTACGTGTGGACAGGGCCTGAGACACACAGATGCATGTGAATGTTTTATATTCTGTTCCCTTTTTATTACATGATCTCACGTTTCTCTTTCTAAAGTCGTTGACCTCTTAATGTAGTTTTTGGCAGGAAGTGGACAAACCAAATCTGTTGGATTTCATCCCACGTCACCTGCTACTTCTCCCTCTCTTGGCTTTTATTTCCTCATCTTGTTAACCAGCTGTTGTTATTGAGTTATGCTGAATTGTACTCGGTTTCGAGTCTTTTAATCTTCCCACTGAAGGAGGCTTAATGATTCATTAGATCCAGTTATAAGGCAGTGCAGGAATGTGGTCTGGGCTAGCAGGTTATAAAGGTCATTCCAACTTTAATCCTAAAGCTGCCTTTTTCTGTCGTGCAGTGATCCAGATTCAGCTTTTCTAGCACAGGCCAGTGATGTTGAAGGAAGCCAGCTGCGATAGAACAAGGATCCCCCTGTGGCTGGTGGAGCGGACTGCTGTCTGCCTGATTAGAATCAGTAGAAAAGGCTAGCTTCAGGCGCAGACATCAGCAGCAGGTGTTTATGTGGGTGGGTGTTAGAGATGCCTGGAAAATGGACTGCAGTATTGAGACACGGACAATTGTGCGTAAAACCACAGCGTCTGCTCTGATCTTTTCTTTCCTCACCCTTCGTCCATTTTTGCAACTTTTCATTGCCTGGCTTCCTCCTTTTTTCTCTCAACTTTTCCGTTTCCATGGCAGCCCAGTGGGGGGTTAACTCTGGGTTGCTGCTGATGAACGGGGAGCCCCTTCCTTGAGCGAGGAGAAGATGCAAGAGGGGGAAGAAGCTTCATTTACTCAAGCATCTGTTGGCAATAAACTTTCCTTGGTGACATTTATGGAGGACTGAACAAGAGCGTAGCTGTAGGCGCTCTCTCTGTTGACCTGTGACAAAGAGGCAAGGCAGCGACAGCAGGATGAGACGACTGACTGCTGCTCTCAGCGTGCAGATGCTGTTTTAATGTTTGCTTGTGTCCAGCTCACAATGACAAAGTATTTTGCACAGTTGTTGGTGAAATGACCAGACTTGGTTCATAGAGGAAGTGTGTGTGTGTGTGTGTGTGTGTGTGTGTGTGTGTGTGTGTGTGTGTGTGTGTGTGTGTGTGTGTGTTTTTTACAGGTACATGTTCACTTAAGCAAACTGTCACTGGGTAATCTTTTGATAAACGACTCATCTGTAAAAGAGAATGAATATAAGAGAGAGGGTGGCTAGGTTACATTTCAGGGTTTCCCCCAGTGCTTTATAAGTCTGACATCCGCTAGGCTTTTCTTGGTCACCCACCAGGTTAAGCGTCACTTATTTATTTATTTTAAATAGCTTTTAATGCACAACATTACCATTTAAAAAAGGGGGTCTTTAACCTGCAAGTATGAATTTAACTGCATCAGGTGATGCAGATGAGAGCGCAATAGCGCCCTACACCTGACCTCTCAGTCAGGTGTGCATTTCCAGCACGTCCTTGAGGCAAACACCTGTAGCCGCGATGGTGAACATCGAACCAGCAGATTCAATCCAATATGATTAGCTGACCCTAAATTAAGTGGATGGCTCTTCAAGACTGAGTATGATAAACATGTCAATTAAATTTAAAAAGTCCATGTCTATATAATATAATATAATATAATATAAAGGCTAGAAACAGACTAACAAAGGCTAGCATGAAGATCTGCAGCTTATTTGTATAGCAGGCAAATGAAAAGAAGAAAATATTTCCTGTTTCACAGTCTCTGTGACATTTGACTTTAAAGCAGAGGGTACTTTAGAGAGCGCACTATGTGGCCGTTGTATGTATGTGTGTTAGAGGAACTACAGTCAACAAAATGCGCACTCCAGTGACGTTCAAACCTTTTTATTATTATTTACTACTGTCTTATACTCAAGTAACATAAAAAAGCTGTGTTTGGTGGGAGAGTTACCATATGGGCATCGGCCGATATTTGTCCTTAGTAAAGCCAATTTAAATTCAGGCACATCCTCGGGTAGCCTGGTGTTGTTGCAGAATTTAAAAATCAATATTGGCCGACTTAACTTAGTCTGGGGCCAATGATGGTCAGTAGGTTAGTTGGGGAGAGCACTGGAAAAACCTGTGAAATTTTGTATTCCGCCCACCAAACCACAACGTCCTGTGTAGAGGTCAGCAGCACACCTTCCCCAGTATAAATAGTGTTGGTAGAACACTGCTTTCCCCTCCTGAGGCACTGGATGGTGGGCCAGAATCTCCTCACAGCCGTGCGAAAAATCTTGTTCCATGGTCTCACCAAACTCCTTCCACATCTCCCGGGTTTTTGCCTCCGTGACCACCCAAGCTGCATCCCTAACCGCCGGAGTCCACCAGTGGGTTTGCTGCCCTGACAGGCACCAATGACCCTGCAGCCACATCTTTGGTTGGCCGCCTCAACGATGGAGTTAAGGAACAGGGCCCATTCAGACTCAGTGTCCCTCGCTTCCCCCGGAACGTTTTGGAAGTTCTGTCGGAGGTCAGCTCCTCCTGACAGGAGACTGCCAGGCATTCCCAGTAAATCCTCACAATATGTTTGGGCCTGCCAGGTCTGACCAGCATCTTCCCCCACCATCGACTCTAAGGTATCCTGGTGCAAAGAACACTTATGGACACATTTATGACTGGTGTGAACATGGTGTTCATTATGGACAATCCATGACTAACACAGAAGTCCAATAACAAAACACTGCTCGGATTCAGCTCAAGGGGGCCGTTCCTCCCAGCTACATATCTCCAGGTCTCACTGTTGTTGCCCACATGAGCATTAAAATCCCCCAAGAGAGTCACTGGAAGGAGCCCCCTCCAGCACCCCCTCCAAAGTCTCCCAAAAGGGCGGGTAGTCTGAATTGTAGTTTGGTGCATAAGCACAAACCACAGTTTGGACCTGGCGGAGGGAGGCTACCCTCCCGTTCACTGGGGTAAGCCCCAACGTACAGCTACCAAGGTGGAGGGCAACTAGTATGCCCACCGCTGCTCTGAGCCTCTGAGTGGGAACAACTCCAGAGTGGTAGAGTGTCCAACCCCTTTTAAGCAAACTGGTTTTGGAGCCAGAGCCTTGCGTCGAGGTAAGTTTGACTGTATCTATTCAGAACCTCTCAACCTCGCACACCAACTCAGGCACCTTCCCTACTAGAGAGGTGACATTCCACGTGCCAAGTGCCAGCCTCTGTAGCCGAGGATCAGACCGCCAAAGTCTCCGCCCTCGGCTACCACTCGTCACACACTGCGCCTGGCGCCTTTGGCCCTTCCCATGAGTGGTGAGCCTGTGGGAAGGGGGACCTACTTTTCCTCTTCTGGTTGTGCCCAGCCGGGCTCCATTGGTAAAAGCCAGGCCACCAGGTGCTTGACAACGTGCCCCACCTCTAGGCCTGGCTCCAGAGGGGGGCCCTGGTGACCTGCATCTGGGCGAGAGAACACTGTTTCCATGTATATTTTTCATCATAAGGGGTCTTTAGGCTGCTCTTTGTCTGATCCCTCACCTAGAACCTGTTTACCATGGGTGACCATACCAGAGGCATAAAACCTCAAACAAGCTCCTACGATCATTGGGACACTCAAACCCCTCCACCACGGTAAGGTGGCAGCCCAGGGAGAGGCAGGATTGAGTATCTGGCTGATTAACTGTTGCTTTCCAATGAGGTTGTTTTTGCTAGTGTTTTGCCATGGTAACCTCAAGACTGAGCCGGTTATTTGATGTGTGGTGTCACTTCCCTTTGGGGCACATTAGAAGAATAAGTAATAAAGAGACTATTTTGTCTGGTGCGTAGCCTGGCTTTATGGAGACCTACTTTATAGAACAATAAGACTTTCTGAAATGATAATTACCTAAAACATTTTAAAAGCTTTTGACCAAAGATTCTGCATTATTGAATCCCTCAGCAATGGGAACAGTGTGTAGTGGTTCTCATCATGTTGACACATTTGTGAAAATACCTGGAAACACTCCAGGAATAAACTGAAGGAATCATTTTTATAAACTGACGACCAGT